CGAAGGGGACGGGCTGCGGGCCGTGCAGTGCTTCAGCCGCAGAGTCCAAACGCCGCAGCCTCAGGCACCCTGCGTGGAGCATCCCCCATCCCGCTGCCCCCTCGCTCAGCCGGGTGGGCTCCCCCCGAAACGCTGTGCCCAGCCAGGCGCCAGTTCCCAGACGTTTGCCGCTTGCTGGCACACCTGAACCCCGCGCTGAAAGCAGCCCTGACCTCTCAGAGCTTCACTGACATGCCCCATTTCAGCATCCCTCCTGCTCCGGGGGTTTGGTTCGCTATGGCAGAGCGCAGCGTTAATCATTAATTCGTGTTGCAAACAGATTCAAAGCCTCTTCTCTCCTTCACTACCTGTAACTCTGCTTTGTCAACTATCCCTTCCTGAGCTACAGCCTGGGTAAACACGCAGCCAGGCCCGGTGGCACTCCAGCGCAGCCCCTGCTCGGGGGTTTATTTACCCCGAGGTGAAATGGGAAAGGCAAATGCACGTGTGGTCGCTTCCCATTCGCGCTGGGATCCAAACTGGGTGCCCAACGCTGAAAAGCAGTGACGCGCACCCCGGCCAAGGCTCAGCCCCGTACCGGACTCAGCAGCCGGCGGTGGAGGGCAGTGATGTGTGGCAGCCCCAACCCATGCCGGGACCTCGCACGGCCTCTGCGGGAGCACAGGCAGGTGTGGAGACAAAAAGCCCATCAGGGTTCACAAACGCAGGGAAGCCACGCTCGGTTTGGGGATCCAGATGTCACCAGCACCTGGAGGCTGGCGGGGGCCATGCATGCGAAATGACCCCACATGCTTGTCCTGCTCTTGCACTCTCGGGAGACAGAATTTGGGGTTAGAGGGAACTTTGCCTCACGCGTTTAACCGTGGGGCTGCAGAAGATGGTGCGGTGCAGCCCCCCGCTCTGGCAGCAGCTCCCACTCTGGCAGCATTCCTCCTGCACAGCCCTGGAAATTTATGACCCAGTGCTTTTTGTGCGATTTCTGCTCTGTCAGGACAGCGGTAGCTCCGCACCTTTCTCAACAGAGCCAGACCATGAACCTACCCGAATATATCCGACACAGAGTCAGGCACATGATCAGCGCGATGGTAAACAAGCCAGGGCAGAGCTGGATTTAATGCATGCTAATCTGCAGCTCCAAGGAGGGGAAACCCACCTTTCAAGCTGTTCCACACACACCCCTTCCCCAAAGCAGCTTGTAAACCACAGGCCATTAGTTTTCATCTCCGCGTGCAGGAAGGAGGGCATCATCTGTGAAACTGGTTTGGGTTTTGGCCGAAGCAATGCCATGTCACTTCTCCAGCATTCTTAGATGGCTGCTCTTCCTTCTCCTCTACCCATCACAACCACCGTCATAAATGAGGATGTTGGAGTAAATTCCCGGCCGATGAGTCAGGAGAAGTCACCCGTTGCATGGGCTGGGAACATCACCTGCGTTGCAGTGCACAGCGGCTCCTTACCCATCACTTTCTAGGTCACCAAGGCAGGTGATCCAAAGTTACCCTCTGAGGACCATCTGGCAAGGCCTGTAAGGCGGGCAGGTGTCCCACCGAGCACCAAGTTTGTCACCTGTGTGCCTGTCTGATGTCAGCCACAAAAGATGTGCCAAAGATTTAACGAGGAACGAATTCACCAGCAGTGGCAACACACCACCGTGCACAGCAAGACCCACGTAAAGACACAAAGAGCATCTCCCACAGGGGACAATCCTTCTCCTATTCAGTGAGGATACCTGGGCCTCTGTCATTTGAAGGAAACGGAGGATTCCCAAAAGCCTGCGTCGTGTTTTGACATCTGCCGGGCACCCGACAGCAGCTGCAGCCCGCGTGTGCCTCCCGCGCTTACTCGTACCGCGTGTGCAGGGCGGGCAGTGAGGCAGAGCGAGACACCACCTGAGAGACAGACGGATACCATCCTCCAGGTCACACTAGTAGTGTATTTATTGGAGTAGCTCACATGCAGGAACCAAAGTAGAGATGATTTTTGGAGCAAGTTAAACAATGGCAGATTAATACAGTTGTATCGTCCTTAACGTAAACACTTTCTACGTGAATACAGCAACATTTTAGTGTTGGGTTTCTTTGCTTGTTGTGTATTTTGTTTCTCTTTACACAGTCAATCTCTTTAAACAGTTATGTCCCCCTTGTCCCCCTACCCCATTCCCAAACAAAAAAATATCCAATATCTTCAGTAAATAAATATTATCCACTTTTATCTGGAAAGCCTACAGCTGTAATATACAGAGAAGCTATTACACAGGTTACATTTGTAGGGTTAACAATAGCTCATAATAACATGTACAGAACGAGGAGCTCGTACTCATAAAAACACAGGGCAGGGTGGGGAGTTTGGCGTAGGTTTGCCACGGGCTAAAGGGAACCAGCACCGGAGCTCGGTGCGGCTCGAAAGCCAACCGGCTTTGGGTGAAACGCAACCTTGGCTCTCTCCGGGATGGAGGAGCAACCAGGGCAGGGTGTGGGAGGCGGGGGCTGGCAGCCCGGGGACGGAGCGGGCAGGAGAAGCCCGTGCCGGAGGCTGCAGTTTGGGAGGGATGAGTGGAAGGTGCTGCGTGGGCACCAGCAACGCCTCCGGGCACCTGGGAAGGGGATTCCTGCCTCCTCTCCTCTGCTGGTGGGCAAGGGCGGGTGGGTGCCCCCAGCAGCTGAAGGGTTACCTCCAAGAAGGCTACAAATCCACTCACTGATTTCCTGCTTCATTATTTCCATAAAAATAACTGTCCTGAGCTGTTTTTTTTTCCAGGGTAGGCTCCACAAGCCTTGTGGTTAGCATTTAGGAGGTAAACAATGACTGAGCTGGATGAGGCTGGCCCGGGGATGGAGATAGCACAAGCAGATCCCACTCCACACGACTCCCAGCAGCCGCAAGAGACTTGACAACTCATCGGACAAAAAAAGACTGTTGAAATTGCTGCTGTGTTTGCTCTCCTGGTCTGCACATCCTGTCCTCATGGGTGAGAGCAGGAGAGCATTGAATGGAGAGGAACAGAACAGGCTGACGTGTTGGCCGGGGTGCCGGGGGAGCGTGGGCCCACCTCCCGCGGCAGCTTATGGAGGGGGGACCCTCACCCCCGCCCTGGGTCTGAAACCACCGCCCGGATCTGTTCTTCCACCACTGGAGGGAAACATCTCGCCACCACAGCCAGCTCTGCCGAGTCCTCCATTTAAAAGTGGAAACAGCCAAGGTAACCCACAAAAAACCACGCCGAACGAAGTCAAACGAATGGAAACCCCCACCAAAATCCTTCTTCAGCTTGGAGGCGTAAAAACAGATTGATTTGATCAGCGCACTTCCAATGTGGAGGCTGTGGTGATGGGAAGGGGAAAGGTATGTTGGAGGCTACGTGAGGGTCCCGGTGAGGACCAGTCTCTGCATTTATGCTGTTCCTTTTAAGAGACACCGTGCTACGTTTTTATGAGCAATTCTCCTATGAGCCTTACCTACATACTAAACACCCTAAATGTCTGTACAGCACATTGTTGTCTATTACACCTGCCAAAGATGCAGCTGAAATCTACACATAACAATTAAAAAACCCGAAAGAATATATTTAAATAGAAACCATTCATTTCTTACATCTCAGCACATGAAGGGTTAACAGAAGAGGTTAAAAAACACACTGGAAAGAAAATATATTGACAAAATAAATATTTTAACCTAGAACATGGTATGATTAGAACTTACAAAGGACCCCAATAATAATTTAGTGTCATTGCATCTCAAGCTGTGATTCCTAATATGCCTAGAAAGCGTTGGGATGTTATTTCCTATGGAAAGCGGATCAGGCTGCAGCTCCATCCCCTCTTCTCACGAGCGTCGGAGCCACGCAAGTCCTCTGCCCGCTTGCACAGAGGAAGCACTTAGAGTGAAAGCGAAGGAAGAATAAATCGAGGTGGCGGTCTTCTGAAGTGAAAAACCCCTTCCCTTTCCCCCAAACAGTTTCCACCGCTCAGGTTTTCTGCAGACCACAAGAGGACGGGGAAGATAAGAGATCCTGATACAGGACATTAGGGAAGCTCTAGCGTAGCTCTTACATTTGTTAAGGAAGGTTTGGGCTAAAGCACCCGTTCTGCCACACGCTCTGTCCCCTTCGGTGCTTCCAGCTCTCGCGTACGCAGCCCGTGAGAGCCACATCTGGTGGATTTGGGCTCCAAATTTAACTCACGGCAGGGCTGCGCTTTTACCAGACCCATCAAGGGTCCCACCAAAAGGACGTTTAGCCGTTGCCAGGCTGAGCGCACACCTCCCAAGGAAGCCATCTCCTGAGTGCTGTCCTACTTCCCGCAAAGCCACTGCTTGTGCCGACGGCACCTGCCACCCCCTGCAAACAGCGCCCTTGCTTTCCTGCGGATAATGCGGGGTGTCAGTGGGGACCACTGAGTGTCTGAGGTTGCAAGCACACGAGACAGTCCCTAGAGCTGTGCCAACACACGCTCCTTATCTCCCCTCAGCCCCAGCCTTCTTGTTTCATCTCTTTTCCTCCCCAGTTGGGGCGAGCAGTCACCGACAGCTCTGCAAGATCTTCCTGAAAGGGACCAGATTCTCTCCAAAGCAACAACTTGGAAGTCCCAGGACAGGTTTAGCATGACAGAAAGAAGCAGCGTTAACAGCACACTTCCCCCCCCGCCAGCCCCCCTCTTTTTGCTTAGGGGTGGGGGAAAACGGGCCAGCAAATCCACAGCAATGGGACTCCGCAGGAGGGCTCGGTGACAGCACCGCTGATATCCTTGCCACTCAGCATCATTTGACAATGTCCCCACGCTTGAGCAATGCGATTATCTCCTCCGGCTTGGCAGGGAAGCTGGATTAACATGCTTAGAGTCACCTGATGTGGCCATTTACAGGGTCAATGTGTTTCAAGGATTTAAAAGAGAAAATACACACTTAAAACACCCACGGAGCTTTTTGCATTGACAGGAATACCAACAATTCATTCTGTGCTGGCAAGACTGCTCAGGCAATCACCAGACACCATCTGAAATCAAATCAGTGTCGTAACAGAAGTTTGCTCAGGTTTCTGGGAGCCAGTGGCCACATCTGACGTGTTGCAGCAAGGCAGGGTCTGGCAGGAGCTGGCAGCGGGGTGTCTGGCAGGCAGCATCGGAGCATCGGGCTCACCTTGTGTTAAACAGCGAGGGCAGCGGGCGAGAGCGTCAGTGCGTACATGCAACAAGGGCAGACTGTCCTGGCACCTTCCATTAGCCACAGAGGTGAAATGGAGAGAAACCCTCTGCAGACCCACATAGAAGAAGCAGATGTGGAGAAGAGGCAGCTTGATCCCCAAGCTATCTCCATCCTTACACTGATTTTCCCTCTCCACTTGCAAGCCATGCTACTTTCTGCACAGCACAGAGCTGACAGGGAGCTGTGAGCTACGGAGCAGTGACGAGGTGACAAGTCAGCGCCAGGGGGTGGCAGGGCAGCCATGCCTGGGCCCAGCTACGTACGGAGGGATCCTGGAAGAGGATGCAGGCAGGGCAGGACAGGACAGGGGAGAGGATGAGCAGGGACAGCACAGAGCGACATCTGACCTGGGATGGCCTGGAATCAGGCCATCCTGCACCAAACAGCGCTTCCCTCCCAAGATCAATGCGACCGCTCTCAAAGACCATCGGTGCTGCAATCGGGCCATTTGGTAAAAGGTTTTATGTGTCACAACCTACCAAAGCGTGGCGTACCCTAGAGAGTATGTTATGAGCCGAAATAACTATGCTCAGATAAAAGCTTCTATCGCTTTCACATCAGCTGTTTATAGCACGGCTTCTTCGTCTAGAAGAACTTCTGAGAGAGCTCAACGCACACATCAGCATTCTGGGAAGCTCAGACATGCCAAGTCAGAACAAAGCGGCTGGTTGCCTAAGACAACAAGCACCCCAAGGAAGAGGGGCTGGAGCGCTGCTGCCTGCATGGGCGTTCATCTGATAAAGTTCCCTTCTGTCAGGACAGGAGATTCTCCCTGCCATGCAGCGTTCAGCTCTCTCTTTGATCCTGCCATCTTGCGCCACTGGCTTCCTACCAAGGAACATGCTGGGGGATGCAGTGATGGCTGGAGCTGCCTGCTCCAGCTCCACTTGTCAGCCCAGCAAGGCAGGCACACACGCTGGAATCCCTTCTGGCAGCTCCAGGAAGAGTGGCACTCTCAGCCATGCCTCTGGCAAGCAAGGGAATACACTTGTTTGCACAGACAGGAGGGAGACTGCAGCCCCGTAGGAGCTGGGAGTTAATAAAGGGGCAGAAGTATCAAAGGACACTCCAAAAATTACAAATAGAACGGCCACAAGCATCCAACACTTTCTCAGGCCCAAACCTAGAAGGAAATGAGGAGTTTCACCTCCAGCACAGGCAGGCATGGCTAATCCCTCCTCAGTAACCGTCTCCCCTGGCATTTTCCTACAAGCCTCTGTGAGGTTTGCCTCTTTTTCTCATACCTACCACCAAGAACCAGCATGTCTATCCTACCAGGCACGGCAGGGAACCCAGGAACCTCAGTTCACACCCAGTCCATGAGCAAGTCCCATCCATCTGCATGGATGTTATTTACAACCGCTGAGACAAATGCAGAGCTCTACAGTCACCGAAGAAGGAATCTAAGGTAAGGAAAAAATAACCTAGCTATCTTAAAAGGCAAACACACTAGAAAAAATCCTCATGTGAGAATGCTCTCTCAAAGAGCAAAATGCTTCATGCGCTAACATTACAGCATCCATTTAGCTCGGTGTTTTTCATTCTTGTCAACTGCCAGAGCTACTGGACATGGCCAACAGACTGCTTTCAAATTAGAGCAAGCCCAGATAAAACACAAGGAAAAAATACCCTGTGAGATTTAGAATACGAAATGCCGCACAAAGTGGGGAAAAGCGACCACCATATGGTACCGGGAGATGTGTGAGTGGGAGAGTAAAGGATTTTAACTTGTGAAGCACATGTTGAAAGGGGAACAGTTGTTCCTTGCTGTCGAATCCAACACGAAAGCCAATACATTAACATTTTATCTAAAAATAAAGACACACTCCTTCTGAACATTCCAGCTCAGTCAATTACATGCTGATCGACAGAGCAGTCTACTTGGCAGGACCTGCCTACAGAAGAGGATGATCCCTACATAAATTGAAGGGCAAGGCTGCTCTCTCCCCTCCGGGCTTTTGTTTCAACACAGTGTGACGTACTCATGCATTCTAAAGGGGATTTCAGCATCAAGAGCTGGTTTTGTGCAGCTGGGATAGGAAGGAGGGGATTAAGCGAGTACTGGAGAATTGTGGTCTGGCAGGAATAGTGTTGGACTTAAATAGAAAGAGTCAGCTTGTGGGGGTGGATTGTTTGGGGAGGGGGGGAAGAAGAAGCAATCTATGAAATGGGGGGGACGGGGGTCGTTGTTAGCCAAGTACTGTGAGAGGACAAAGTGGCCATACAGCGACATTTGCCTGCAGAGCACGGGGGTGGGAGGGCGGCTAAGAGCAATCTTCACAGTGCAAAGAGGGCATCCTCCGAGCGCTCTTGCTTTTTCCTGCTGGAAGGATTTGTCGGAGGGGTGGGGGCTTCCAGGGGAGGGGATGGCAGATTGGGAACCATCTCCGCTGCTTTGGCTCGCTCTTCTAAAAATTTGTCAAACTCTGCAATGCAAAAAAAGAAGGAAGACAGGTAAGAACTGGGGCTGTATGTTCAGCCCCGGGTACAGAGGTTAGCAGGATCTGAAATTCCAGCGCTTGACGTGCCGTCGGGCTGTGTTCGCAGGCACACATACTTGTACAGCCTGACTTCCTCAGGAAAGGGTACAGATGTCCTTTCAGACACCCTAGCTCAGGCAGCAGAGGGAATCAAACCCACCCTACGCCATTGGCTGCGACAGAAGCAGGGAAACATCATTCCAAAGG